TCTTTATTGTTGTTCTGGAGGCTCCGATTCACGTGTTTGTCGAGACACAGGATACATAAACTAGTCCAATTTGACCATTGAATCAAGTAGTACCAATTGCACCCTATAAACTAGTCCAATTTGACCATTGAATCAAATAGTACCAATGACCCCCTATTAACTAGTCCAATTTGACCATTGAATCAAGTAGTACCAATGACCCCCTATTAACTAGTCCAATTTGACCATTGAATCAAGTAGTACCAATGACCCCCTATTAACTAGTCCAATTTGACCATTGAATCAAGTAGTACCAATGACCCCATATTAACTAGTCCAATTTGACCATTGAATCAAGTAGTACCAATGACCCCCTATTAACTAGTCCAATTTGACCATTGAATCAAGTAGTACCAATGACCCCCTATTAACTAGTCCAATTCGACCATTGAATCAACTAGTACCAATGACCCCCTATTAACTAGGCCAATTTGACCATTGAATCAACTAGTACCAATGACCCCCTATTAACTAGTCCAATTTGACCATTGAATCAAGTAATACCAATGACCCCCTATTAACTAGTCCAATTTGACCATTGAATCAAGTAGTACCAATGACCCCCTATTAACTAGTCAATTTTGACCATTGAATCAAGTAGTACCAATGACCCCCAATTAACTAGTCCAATTTGACCATTGAATCAAGTAGTACCAATGACCCCCTATTAACTAGTCCAATTTGACCGTTGAATCAAGTAGTACCAATTGCACCCTATAAAATAGAACAATTTGACCATTGAATCAAGTAGTACCAATGACCCCTTATTAACTAGTCCAATTTGACCATTGAATCAAGTAGTACCAATGACCCCTTATTAACTAGTCCAATTTGACCATTGAATCAAGTAGTACCAATGACCCCCTATTAACTAGTCCAATTTGACCATTGAATCAAGTAGTACCAATGAACCCCTATTAAGGAGGCCTAAGCAGCTGACAAATGTGTTACAATCTACAGATAAAGGACATGTCTCGCTGGTGTTTAAAAGCGGGCGTGCTGTCGTTGGCTGCAAGTACACCTTTGTACATGATTTTAATGATAGAACAACTGACGTCTATTTTAATTTGATTGACCTAATCAATGTTGTAGAAATTACGCTGGAGAGCCCAAGGAAAGTGTGTGAAGTCTTCGTCAGTGGAGGTGAGTTGTACCGAGATTTATATTTATATAAAACGTTTTTAAAATAATGTCTTTCTTCTGCCAATATGTTTTATCTTATTTTGTAGATTGTAGTGACTTGACTTAGTCCTATCTGCTCCTTATGGAACATAAGTCCTCTACCATTTCCTTCCATTTCATCCGATCCCCGGCTATTAACTTTGTCATCTCCCAAGACATTCCTGTTGGCTTTAGTTCTTCAAGAAGTCTCCGCCTCCAAGTCTGTCTTGGGCGCCCTCTTTTCCGCTTTCCTTGGGGGTTCCATTTGGCGTATCACATTTGGGTGAGCTTTTTGCAGCGTGTGTCCTACCTAGCGCCACTTCCTCCTTCTTATTTGCGCTGTCATAGAATGTTATATAGGTGTATTTGTTGATTTTGTATCATTTTATAGGTCGACTTGTAGGCTTTTAACTTATAATAGACTTACCCGTCATACCTTGGATGACATTGGATTTCGGGGATCATCCATAAATGACATCACGTCTGTCACTTATCACAAAATAACCAGACCCCACATTCAAAAAGACGTTTTTTATCTTTAAAAAACACCGATTTCGGCTGAGCATGGGTCTGACCGCACTATCTTTTCATATATTGACGTAACAGGTGACCTTTAAAAGTTCTATTAATTTTAATGACACCGACTTCAAAATTTAGCCTTCATCCTTTAAAGCAAATTTTAAAATGCTTTTCTGGCAACCTATAGCATGTTAATATAACGTGAAAACCCGCCATTTTGTTCGTGTTAAACATGGCCTAAAAATGGTCGGAAGTCATGCGTCCGATCGGGACGCCATTGTTGTAAGCAACCGACCTCGCTTCCAAGTTAGCGAGTAATCCTACTAAATCTAGATCTAGAACCTAGTAGATAGATAAATCCCATGTATTCTCGAATTAGATGATCATTGAAGCTAAACAAACATTTATATAACATATATAAATAAAATATTAAAGGCCTGTAATAGATTCTAGATGTAGAATTTACATTAAGTTTAGATCTAGAATTTACATTAAGTCTAGTGACCTAGATTTAGATCCAGATCTAGATTCAAAACGTTTTCTTTATTCAACAGCTGATCTGTAGATCTAGGGAAATGTATTGTATAACAAAATAAAAAGAAGTGTTAAAACATTGATAATAGTGTTGAAACGTAATAAAAATAGCAAGCGGGCGCATTGTAAAAGTTATAGCCGACAGAAAATTAGTTTAAGAACGCTTTGAAATCTGAATCGGCAACTAAATCTTTGATTGATGCCGCCATTGATTGTACTAAAAAGTAAACAAATTATGTGACGTCATTATTCCCACAAAGTAAAGTCAATGTTTTAAACTCTTAAAATTAATGTGCTTAATCTAACTATGAATAAATCAATAAATTAATTAACGTCTTTGCATAAATTTGTAATTAAAATTCTGTCTGAAAAAAAAATTGTTCTCTACCTACGTACTATTTTACAGCTCTCCACATAGTGCAGATTATCCCCAGTAACCAATCAGACAAACAAAAAAACAAACAAAAAAAACAAATAAATATTCAAACTCGTAAACAAACTTGAGTTTTAGTAGTATATATATTATAGGTCGCAAAGGTAAGTTAAAATGCTACTTCCAAACGGTCTATGGGGCAAGAAAATTAGAGTTTCTGTGTCCTCAGCATATGAATGGATAATGTAGTTAGCACTATGCCCAGTGACCTTAAATTTCCCTAGCGTGAGTTAGGTAACCATCAGAGTTGGATGAACTCAGGTACGGTCTACTGACTTGAACACGGGTATCGAACTCGAGACTTACGGGTTAGCAGTCCAGCTCTCTACCGCTAGGCCATCCCGTCCCTTTTTAAAGCTCGTAGAGTAGCTTTACCTGTATTCTATAGGTCGGAATACAGCTTTTTTCGTTTTTTATAAGTCCTAACAGTAGCTTTAATCTTATTGTATCAGCCAAAATGTTGCTTTTATCTTTTTTGCAGGTCGCAACGTCGCTTTGAAGCAACAGACAGCGCAAATCAACACCCACCTTAGGCATACATCGGAAAAAGCAGTCGATGGTGACAGATCTAATGAAATACTAAAGAACTCTTGTACTCACACGTCCCACAACATAAAACCAAACACAAAGCAGTATTGGAACATCACGTTCAACAGAGAGGTTTTTATTCAAAGATTCAAAATATTCAATAGAGGTTGGAAAAAATGTACTATGATGTAACTATAAGATTTTTTATATAATACATTAGAGTTGTAGTGCAGGTTTTAAAAAGTATACTTTTTATTAATGAGTATAATATGAGTACATTTAATTTAACTAACGGATAGTGCGATCGAAAATATTAATATATGTAATGTTTGCTATGCGATAAGTTTTAAGTAAAGTTCCACTTTCGAACCTTACGGTCTATGGGGCAAGTTGAGTTCACCTTTTTCTGTGATCTCGGCATTTGGAGGGATGGTGTGGTCAGCACTATGCCCAGCCATCTTTACTTTACCTAACGTGGGTTAGGCAGAGGCGAAGCGACCCCTCACGGCACCCGAAGCGAACTTTTGATTTGGGGCGCCCCCCCCCCCCATATATATATATATATATATATATATATATATATATATATATATATATATATATATATATATATATATATATATATATATATGTGTGTGTGTGTGTGTGTGTGTGTGTTTGTGTGTGTGTGTGTGTGTGTTTGTGTGTGTTTAATAAATATGGTGTATTATTTTCGTTGCCTAAAACTTTATTCGACGCCAATTAACTCAGTTCGAGTTCAGATTCCTGTCTGAGTTTGTGTCCATCCGGCTAAGATGGGTACCTGAATCACGGTGGCGCGACAACATTAACTGGCGTAGTGCTGACCACACTATCCCACAGTATGCTGAGGTTTTTGAAACTTATATACTCAACTTCAGCTGCCTTTAGCACAAGCAGACACGATAATGCATAGCGAAATTATGAAGCGGCCAGCGGAGAATTTTTTAAGCAGACTAGAGTAGATGATATTTGGACAGTAAAAAGAATCACAAAGTGTTGGTTTTAATTTTCTCCCTCGTCAAAGGCAGAAGAGTTCTTGTATGTTGAATATTACCAATAAATCTTGGTTGGGGAACAATAGTCTTGCAATTTTTTTATGTGTTAACGTAGTCGCACTCGAAGCTAGATATACCACAATAAATAGCTTTAGTGTACTATATGGAATATTTATACCATATGGGGCCTACACAAATTTCGCTTAAAGCTCAGGTATTAAATATAAAATAAATCTGGCGTCATTCTCATAACACTAGTTAACGGCCCGTTGAGGGAGAAATACAACGGACAATAGGTTGATAATGTTGTCTTATTCTCTAAACTAAAACAAAAAATAAATTCCCCATATCAACTGCAAATTGAAATGGAAAGATGAAATTAATGTAAAACTAATTTTATCCAGATTTGGAATTTATACAAGATCCGGAAATTTAGTGGGATACTTAACTGGAGAAACTTGACCGAAAACGGGGGGAGGGGAGGGTTAACACTGGTAAAAGTACATATTTTATATGTATTTTATAAACATTCTTTTTTCGTTCTTGAAGGGGTTGAAGGGGGCTATGGACGTGTTGCAGTATTGATGTAGATAACATGTATTTTCAGCAGTTATTTCACCACCCCCCACCCCAGAAGTTTTAGTTTGCTCACCTTCTAAAAATGACACACTATATTTAATTTTTTAATTGTAAGTATGGTGTGCCTACATATTGGATAAAACTGTACGTATTTGAGATAAAAATTGATGATAAAAATGTTTTGATTTCAGAATATTCACCACAACGATTGGCTGGCTTTTTCTTAGAAGCATTCGACTCAACTACAGACATTCCAGTTTACAATTTTCACGACACTAGTACAAAAAATGACACTTTAGTTTATGACTGGGCTATACAGATGTTTGTTGCCAACAGAGTGACTATTTATGTACTTGACAACGTCTTGACGCTGTGTGAAGTGGAGATTTATGGAGGTATTTTTAGTTGTCTCTTTTATAGAATATTTGATATAAAAATATTGGAAGCCACAGGAACCCATACATTACGTTCTGTAAAAAAATGTCCTATTTAGGATATTTTTTACAAGCTTTGTGTTTAAATTCCTTTTTCTGTCTGAAGACAATGCAAGCTGACATTTAGTTGAAATTAATAGAATGCCTAATTAATTTTTTAATGAATTAATTTAAATTGTGTCCAAATTAGTAGGCAGGCTTATCTAACTATTCCGCACTATTATACGCGCGATATCATGTCTAATATGTGCGAAATAGTTTTTAGTCATGCTACTCTATTGTAAATGTAAAAAAAAAAATTAAAGTACGGAAATTTTAAAAATAAGAAATGTTTTAATATCAAGCTTGTATGTAATCTATATACTACTAAAACTCAAGTTTGTTTACATGTTTGAATATTTATTTTTTTGTTTGTTTGTATTTTGTTTGTCTGATCGATTATTGTTAATACTTCTATTCATCGTAGACAGCTGTAAAATAGTATGTAGGTAGAGAATAATTTTTTATTGCAGACAGACTGTTAATTACAAATTTATTTAAAGACGTTAATTAATTTATTGATTTATTCATAGGTATATTAACCACATTTTTTTAAAAAGATTACTAAAACCACTAGACTCGACGGAAACAGTGACGTCACATGATGTGTTTATTTTTTTAAATCAATAATGGCGGCCTATCGAAGAAGAGTGTGTTCCCATTCATATAAGCGTAGCTAATGATTAGATCTAGATTCTAGATCTAATCATTAGCTACGCAAAAAACTAAATTTAAGACTTAAGCAAACGAGTCGTAGAATCTAGATCTAGATAATTCTATCTAGATCTAGATAATTTCAGACCTTCTTTATTTTATATAAATCTTTGTTTGGCTAATTTAAGATAACATTTAATTTGAAAGTTACTACTACTAGACTTAGATCTAGATCTATGCGCGTAAATCAAGTTGCAAAAGGAGACTCAAAGTATCAATGTATAGTATAAAAATTCATCTGTGACGTGACGAGTAAATAGCTAAGATGATAGTGTAATCGGCTCTCATGCGGGTGGCACAAATTCCAGGCCAATAATTCAATGATAATTTTTTTTTAATTTTTATTTTATTTTTTAGATGTGAATGATAAAGTTGCCTATCTGAACTTGGCGCGATACAGGGCAGGTGAAGTAGGGTTCATCTGTTTCTTTGTCCTAAGCATATGAAGGGATAGTGTGGTCAGAGACATGCTCGGCTGGAATCGTTTTTTAAACAATAAAAACATGTTGTCTGAGACTTGGCGGGACACTGGGGAGGTGAAGTAGAGTTGAGTAGGTCACCTGTGACGTCAGTAGCCTATATGAAGGGATAGTCCGAAATCGGTGTTTTCGGTGTTTTTAAAAGATAATAAACATATTTTTGAATGTGGGGTCTGTTTTTTTTGTGACGATAAGTGACACTGCAGTAGCGTAGCGAGGGGGGACCTATGTCCCCGGGCGCCGACCTTAGGGGGCGACAAAATGGGTTGAAAAAATAAATTGAAAGGTTGAGAGGGGTGCAAATCGAAAGTTTGAGGGGGGGGGGGGGGGGGTGCAAATCGAAATCTTGAGGGGGGGGGGTGCACATCAAAAGTTTGAGGGGCGGGGGTGGGTGCAAATCGAAATCTTGCGGGGGGTGGGTTCAAATCGAAAAGTTTGTCCCCGGGCGCCGGGAAGGGTCGCTACGCCTCTGAGTGACAGACGTGATGTTTTGTGATGGATTACCCCTGAAACCCACAGTTATCCAACGGATGACGGGTAGTCTAGTAATTCACTAAAAGTAGAACATAAAAGTCTTTCTTTAAATATATAATAATACACTACTATTTAAATAACTATAAATAAAATGCATCTAATATATAATATAGTGACCCGCGCTTTTCTTTACAGTAATAGTAGTGTATTATTATTTATCAATAATTTATTTGCTTCATTTAGTGCATTATTACATAAACGCTTGTTATTAAAACGTTTTTTATGAATTTAAAAAACGATATAGATTTATATATTTTGTGTGATTAATAAATCATGCAAAATTTATTCCAATATATTTACATTCGATGATGCAATTTCATTAACATAATAATAACTTTCAACCTAATAAAACTGGAAAATAAACTATGATAACAAAACTAATAAAACACAACAGATCTCTTTTTTATTTAACTATTTTTAACTCGACAAAAAAAGGTAAAATAACTTTAAATTTAGTTTTTTTCTATCCATTGCAAAATAAAAATATTTTGTATTTTCTTTAATGTGTATGATATTTTGAAATATGAATAGTTATAAAAACTTTACACTATATTCAAAATTATCTTGTTGACTTTATGGAAGATTAAACTTTGATTTAAACATTATATAAGCAAAATGACAATAAATATTTTTAGGTTTTATGAGTACCTTTTTGTCTATAAACCTAAAATTGACCCGTTGAAATTTAATTTTTAAAAAATCTCTCGGATAGCTAGGGCCATTTACTCCTCAAAGGTCTGTTCAATGTCTGTTTAATGTTTTAAATACGCTTTTGAATCGCGTGAACTTGTCGAAAAGAGTTTCGCTAAGCTTTAGCTAATGTGTTCAGTATACATAAATTACATACTTGCGAAGCAGTAAAATATGCTTCAATAAACACACTCTTTAGCCTTAAGGGTATTATTACCGGAAAAACATGTTAAATATCTAAGGCCTTGATAGAAATAAAAGTAGACCAAGTAAATTTCCAAAAAGTTGTATATAACATTCTGCATAAACTACAGTGGGATATCGCTGTAGTATTACGATCTTTATATTTCCCAGATAACTTTTGTAGTGGACAAAAGTTCGGCTTGAACTGTGAACATACCTGCCAGTGTACAGACTCTAAATCCTCCTGTATGCCGTCGACAGGCGTCTGCCGTACAGGTGGTTGTACCCCTGGATATAAGGGCAAAGATTGCGAGGAAGGTAGTTGAAGGAATGATTATGAAGATTAAATTAAATCTTCTATATTTGAAGACAGATCAGTACGTATTTAAATAGGGGATCACATTTATTAAATTTGCAATGAATTTTTTTTATAATCCGAATTTTTATCATTCTACTTGCATTTTGATATATGCACTATTTCAAGGCATGGGAACATGTCTACATAATAATTTGTAGAATTTTTATAATTTTTAAAAAAAATTTACAGAAATAAAATGTAACAAACCTACCGTACCTAAGGGAACGTGGGGTATTTGCCCAGGTGGTTATAATAGTGTGTGTACCTTGTCTTGTGAAGAGGGTTATGAAGTGGACGGAAACAAACAGATCACATGCCAACGAAACGAAATATGGACTGTGCCTGGCGTATGCAAAAGTAATATGTTGTTTGTTTTAGAAATACACACTAATATTTGAAATAAGGTTAAAATTACTAAACTTTATAAGTATTACAGAAATTATATAGTTATTTCTTTATTTTTAACTTTTCTTCTTAAAAGGCATCATTAAAATATTTTACTTCATTAATAATAATTTTACATAGTGTACATTTTGGTTAGTAGCATTCGTATAGTCCTTACAGCTTTATAAATATTTCCTGATAATTTAAAAAAGCTTTGTATATTATCAATGCACCAACAGTTTAGTAAATGTTTACTTAAAAGAGAAAAGATGTAGCGCTGCTCCCAACATTACAAACGGGACATGGCATAATTGTCAAAACGAGTTTCGAAGCGTGTGTACACTGGTCTGTGAAGACGGCAACGAAGTTAAAGGGAACGACACGATCACCTGCCAAGCTAATCAAGAGTGGACAATGCCTGGTGTGTGCTCGAGTAAGCATTAATTCAATTTGAGATTTATATTTAAGAAAATAAAATTAAAATAATGAAAACCAATAAATGCACTTCTACTATTATGTATATGCAATATAAATCATTTCTGCATGAAAAATAATGAATACAAAAACATAAACTTCTACTATTATGTATGTGTTAGATTAATTATTTCTGCATTTTATGGCAGGAGTTAAAATCACCAGATTTTTTTTGACAATAACATGAAATATAATGAAAACAAATACATAAAGTTCTATCAGAGGCGTAGCGAGGGCGGGGTGGGGTGGGGGGGGGGGTTGCGGACCGCACCGGGTGACACAATTTAGGGAGTGACAACATGGCAAAAAATTGCAAAATTGACAGAAGGAGAAGGCTTTTTGCCCGTTGCATTAAGGATTTATTATGCGGCATATATTGAAATTATAAGCTTATATAGGCCGACACACACACACAGACACACACACGAAGTGCCGCGCCGGGTTACACCCAACCTAGCGAAGCCACTGACTTCTATTATTACGTATTTTGTAGCTAAATTATTTTTGCAATTAATGTCAGTAGTTGAAATTATCAAAAGTGTTTTGACAATAGAGAGTTTACTTAACAGGGAAAAGATGTAGCACTACCACCAACGTAACACATGGAACATGGCATCATTGTGAAGATGAGATTGGTAGCGTGTGTACACTGGTCTGTGAACACGGCTACGAAGTTAAAGGGAACGACAACATCACCTGCCAAGATAATAAAGAGTGGACGATGCCTGGTGTATGCTCAAGTAATCAATACATTCTTACATTCATTCATTCTTGAGATCTCTAGTACAAAATAATATGAAAAATAATTCAAACAAATACATTAAAACAAATATACTCACGACTTTATGATTTGAGAAAGACGCAAGCAACTGCACGTTGAACGAGCATCAGGAAGTATTTCTTTCATTGTTTTCACAGCAAGGGTTGGCGTGGTCGAGCCGGTAAAGCTCATGGTTACTAAACTCAAAGGTCTCGAGTTCGAACACGCCGGTATATGAGGCTCATTAGCTCCAAAATCAAACAACTGCTGCCTTGTAGTTTGGACAAAGTTTAGTTGGATAAAGAAAATCCAAAAAGTAAAGCAGGCTGAAATCAGAGTTAATGGCCTCAATGTCGCATAACCAGTTTATACGTATACTTAAATGTGTTGAGGGGGTCTCTTCCAACACTAAAAAATTAAGAACGATGCAGAAAGAAGAAGTTTTAACAGCCTCTATTTCAAAATGGGTGAAACCCTATTTGAGACAAAGCACAGTTGGGAAACCCATGTATCGCGAAAGCACAGCGTACCTGTGAAATTTGTAGTAGTACTTCATTTATCGTTTTTTTTTTCAATTTAATATTCGCCGTAGAGGCTTATGATCAAGAATCACTTTGCATTTCCTTTTTTGATTAAAAATTCTACTTCTTCTCATTTCTTTCTTAATTTTAGTGTTGGGACTAACAGTTACCTTTTTTAATATCAGTTTTTGTTTTGCAGAGAAACTATGCAACACACCACAAAAGGTAGCCAATGGTGTGTGGAGATTTTGCAACAACGACACATGTAAATTAAAATGTAAAGGAAACTATAAATTAGAAGGGAATGAAACAATCCAGTGCCAAGATAATCAAAATTGGACAGTTCCGGGTAGATGCATAAGTAAATACTACTTCCCCAAATACATTATTTTTTAAAAACTTTGCCATGTCAAGGATATTTATATTCACACAGACTACGATTGATTTTCGTTCTTATGTAAGATAATTCTTAAAAAAACAAAAGTCCATGTATGCTTGAGATTCAGAATCAAAGTTTAACTTACCGAAAAAATAATGCAAAAAATCTATTGTTTATGAATGATAACATCGATCTGATAACTATAAAAATTGATCTGATAACGTACGGTAGGATTCTTTTACTGTAGCATTAATTTGAGTTGTATTGAATAAATAAAACTAATTATAAGATCTAGATTTACACATCTAACAAAGAATATTTTAAATTTGATTGAAAAACAATGCTTTTTATAGCATTGCTTGAATTAAAACATATTGCTAGTTGAAAAAAATGTTTGAGTTTAAATGTTACAGTCTGTAGATAATACTAATGATAATTTAGGATAAACTACACTAGACATGTATCGTGTTTTACCTGTTGCAGCAGTGGAAAATGGTTGTAGAGAAGGTTGGTTTGGACCCGGATGTTATTACAGTAAGTATTGTAAGCGAATTTAATCCAAAAAAATAAGTATTAAACCTCAGTTAACCTACAAAACTAGATACAGTGCTAACATGGTTAAAAAAATTATATGATTTGGTTTCGATCACATCATTTAACATTTAAATATACTGTGTTGAATTAAACGTAAAATATCTATATCTATATCTATATCTATATCTGTATCTATATCTATATCTATATCTATATCTATATCCATATCTATATCCATATCCATATCCATATCTATATCCATATCTATATCCATATCTATATCTATATCCTTATCTATATCTATATCTATATGTATATGTATATGTATATGTATATGTATATGTATATGTATATCTATATCTATATCTATATCTATATCTATATCTATATCTATATCTATATCTATATCTATATCTATATCTATATCTATATCTATATCTATATCTATATCTATATCTATATCTATATCTATATCTATATCTATATCTATATCTATATCTATATCTATATCTATATCTATATCTATATCTATATCTATATCTATATCTATATCTATATCTATATCTATATCTATATCTATATCTATATCTATATCTATATCTATATCTATATCTATATCTATATCTATATCTATATCTATATCTATATCTATATCTATATCTATATCTATATCTATATCTATATCTATATCTATATCTATATCTATATCTATATCTATATCTATATCTATATCTATATCTATATCTATATCTATATCTATATCTATATCTATATCTATATCTATATCTATATCTATATCTATATCTATATCTATATCTATATCTATATCTATATCTATATCTATATCTATATCTATATCTATATCTATATCTATATCTATATCTATATCTATATCTATATCTATATCTATATCTATATCTATATCTATATCTATATCTATATCTATATCTATATCTATATCTATATCTATATCTATATCTATATCTATATCTATATCTATATCTATATCTATATCTATATCTATATCTATATCTATATCTATATCTATATCTATATCTATATCTATATCTATATCTATATCTATATCTATATCTATATCTATATCTATATCTATATCTATATCTATATCTATATCTATATCTATATCTATATCTATATCTATATCTATATCTATATCTATACAGGAGATCTAATACTTTTGACAAAAGAAATGAGCCCATCTAAACGAGAAAACGGCCAATGTTCTGCAACGGATTTATTACACTTAAAATTTAAAAATGAAACGAGTTTTATTTCTATAAGAATTACTCTTCATAAAAAAGGTAAATAACAGATTTATTTTGTGAGAAAATCACACTATAAGGTATATATATATATATACATATATATATATATATATATATATATATATATATATATATATATATATATATATATATATATATATATTATATATATATTTATATGTATATATATATGTATTTATATATATGTATATATATTTATTTGTGTACTTGCATTTATACCCATATCTAGGCACAAGGCCGTGCTATATTTGGTGTCACGTTAAATGATCTCAACTAAAATATCTCAGGACAAATTAACTCAAGGATAAATTATCTTACGTACAAAAGATCTCAGGACAACACATATAAGAACAAATGATACCATGGAAAAAATTTAACGATGTCAGACAAAATATTTTCGACAAAATATTTTACATGAAAATATTCATTGCATTTACGAGGATTTTAGTCAATTTTAACATTTCCTTTTTTAATTTCCATACAGATTTTTGTACACAGCGTGAAATGTACTAAATGAACGAGTCGAACTACATTTTTACTTTTTTGTATATGCGAAGTATAGAGAAAGTCTTGTAATCGTGCAAAAAAAAAAAAATCGAGATTTTTACAAATCTCGACGTTTTACACCTCACTGATAAGGAAAAACATAATTTTGCAAACAAACTTGCCCGTATATCTGTGTGCCTGTGTACGTGTGTGTATGTGTCTGTCTGTGTGTAAACACGATAACTTGAGTACCGTTACAGCTAGGTTGATGAAATTTCATATATAAGTATTTTATTAAAATCGTAGATCCGTATCAACTTTGGAGCGATTTCCGATAACCAGAAGTGGTACTTTTTCTACTTTGAATTTTTTAAAAGCCTATAACTTGAATACTATTCAGATAGATAAGGAAATTTCACATGTAAGTAAAAGTTCTAATTGACCGGGAGTGCTAATTTACGCTATTTCCGTTTTTTCAAAAAACGCATGTAAATTTATAAAGTACTATAATATTGCGCACTTTTATGCACATTTTGTTTTGGCGTTCGCTTGGTGTGCAATTCTTTTTTTCTATGAGATTCTATTCTATGTTTAAAAGTTTAAGTAATTATAAATCATGTCTATATTCCAAGTTATATAAGAATATTCGAGAAAGTTTAGGGGAGATCACTCCCGTTTTATTTAAATATAGCATTGTATATGAAATGTTTAGGACATGACAATGCATAACAAATAAAATGATGTAAGCCTTAGACGCAGTAATGTTGAAAACACGTGAAACAGTTTTAAAAAGTGATTGGGTCTCCAGGTTCGTAATGTATACGTTATGTTTTAGAGCATCATCAACACAAATGTAACGGTAAAAATTTCTTTGCTGGCTGTTGTCTAGAGTAAATCTTATATCTTAAAAGTGCGGAGGCTTTATTGCGATGTAAAGAAAGACGCCATAGCTGGGTTATCACCAGTAATACTGCTTTGTTGGTACGCACACTATGATTAACTTTGCTCTGCAATGACCACTGCCGTTCAAATAAAAAATTGTCACGTGATCCCCAGAGTGTGACCGAAATATCACTATTGACTTTAAGTTATAGTTGTATTGTCCACCTTGCTTCGTAGGTGTGTTTTCATAGCTCATCGATCCATAGATGAGCTAACTTTTCGATCTAGATTCGTAAAGCTGATGTGGTTGTATTGTCTTATGTTAAGCAAGCCCTCCTACACTTTCTTTCGAAACTTAGTTTTAATCTTTGAATATTAACATTTCTAATCGCATTTTAATAGGTATAATGTAGTGTGACAAACCTATGCGACAATAATTTTCAAAATTGTTATGCTTAAGAAAACAAATATATAAAAAGCAAATGAAAAAAATCATTTTTTAAAAATTGTTTTAATCGATTTAATTCATTTTAATTACTATAAAAAATTACTAATTTACTTGGACTCAGATCATTTGTGCATGGTATCATTTATCCATATATATTTTGGCCTGTTATATTTTGTCCGTGAGGTCATTTGATATCTAAATATGCCGAGTCAATCAGAAATTTAAAAATGATCTCATCCTATTTTGAAGATCATTTGAAATTATAAAATTATTTTTTTAAAATGTGTTACATTTTGTCTCAGAAAGTAATTTGACAGCAACAATGTTCAACGCATTGCGTAACGGAAGTGTAAGCAAATGTAAGACGCATATATTATATTGGGTTGAAGAATCGACCGCCGAGGTGGAATGCAAAATAAAATCGACTGTAACTGAATGTACAATTGTCTTCAATTTAGAGGTTGACATTTGTCAAGTCATAGTAAACGGAGGTTAGTATTATACATACGAAATTAAATTGTAAAGGGTTTTTGTTTAAAATAAATTTTGTCACGTCGTATACATTTTTGAAGTTTGTTTTTTCCAAACAGGAAGAGATATTATAAAAGAAGCGACAGTAGCCATTCGTGTAGATGGCAAAAGTACCAACATAACATATATTGATGAAGACGACCGAGATGATTGTTTTGATATAGAAAATCCTGGGCATCAAATAAGCTTTGAATCAAGCTTTGAATGGCCGCGTGTGGTCTACCAAATTGTAATACATACTAGCGGTAGGAAAAGTAATATATTATGTAAATTTTATTAGTTATACTTTAAACGGCAAACATAGGTTTTATATATATATATATATATATATATATATATATATATATATATATATATATATATATATATATATATATATATAATAATATATATATATATATATATATATATATATATATATATATATATATAATATATATATATGAATATATATATATATATATATATATATATATATATATATATATATATATATATATATATATATATATATATATATATATATATATATATATATATGTAACGAGACTATTTGCCTGTAGCGCCAAATGTTAACGAGTTCTGCTCGACAACGCCAAATGTTACCGAGTCTAACCACTCATTCTACACAACATCGACCACAGTATAGATACTCGAAGATGCAGGTTCGCTATTGATCCTTTTATTACATGAATCAAAGAAATGCTTCACAATAATATACTGAATCAAAAGGAATGCTTCACAATAATAGTTTGAATCAACTGACTCCCAACAGTCCTCACTAGTCTTCATATAACTGAATACACATGTCTATCGTCCTTCTTAACACAATATAACCAACTTGATACTGCCACACAGACTGACTGATCGAGAGAGA